TCCCCCTTTCTCCCTCCTTTCCCCTCTCTCTAGAAATAAATAAATTAAATATTTAAAAATAAAGAAAATGAAGTGTATATTCTCTATAAGGTTTTGGTATGAAGGGCCTATTACTTGTAAATACCACTGATCTTTAAATCATGTTGTTTTTCATAACTCCTAGCACTTGTGCTTTGAATTATATTAAGGTCAACTGGCAAATTGCACATGTTATATTGTAAGTCACCAGAGAAAAAGCTTAATAAAGACATTTATAAAGAGAAGCCACATCTTAAATTCAACATGCAATTTAAAAAAGCAATCTTAATAATAATCAATACAGTGGAGTAATGGCTAATACAAGGTGTTGGCTTTTTTCTAATTGGTTCTGAGCATAACTCTCTCTTAACTCTCACAGCAAGTCTATGTGGGGCGCACTGGTACTAGCCTGATATTACAGAAGACAGCACAGACACACAGGGTGCGAGTAGGCACAGAAAGAGGAATTGCTGGGAGGCCGGATGGAAATGAGGGAGCTCAGTGTAGCGCCAACAATGTGCAAAAGAAGAAAGCTTTCAGAACCCATCACTACTGAACTGAGTTTAACTAAAGCCTGAGAGGTGAAGAAGAAATTCCACTGTACTGAACTGAGTAAGGTGACTGAGCATACAGCAAGCACAGAATAAAATCACACAAAGGACACAGTTAAGTTACAGCACATCCACGAATTAGCCCTGACTGTGTGAGGAAAGGTTAAAACTATTTTTTAAGATTCTGACATCCTTAATAATTGTCCAGAAAATAAAAACAATGATGTAGGAAAAATAATCCAGAAGAGTTAGCAATGGCTTTAATAAAATAAACCAAGAGAAATACAGTTTTGTTGTACATTTATGATCTCAAACTCTGAAATAAAAATGTATCATTTAAATAAAAAATACTTCATTTAAGTATCAGTAAAATGTTTCTAATCCCTGGCAGCACAGTCTCACGTTTGGTCTCATGTACATCTGTGCAAATCTCATTATCAAAAATTAGGAGAAAATTCATAACTCAGAACCCATTTTTTCTAACATAGACAGGGGAGTAAAAATTATATTGGGTGTCTAAAATGGTTGTTTTTGTTTCCCACTTAATAAAATTTCAGAATAAAAATGATCTTTAAATGTACAAAATAAACTCTCTTGATGAAAAATACATGGACCACACTGTAACAAAACTTACACAATAGTACAATATTATAAATCACACATTTTTATGGCCAGCATTCTAGAGTTTGGCTGCCTGGTTGGAATCATAGCTTTATTAGCCTTCTAGTTTAGTCCAAGTTCCCTTGAACACATTACTTGAATACTTTCCTCAATTTAAAAAAAAAAAGGGAAACCCAAGAGAATCTGCTTCATAAGACTGTTGTAAAAGTATAATAAAGAATACCTGCAATGTTCTGCCTGGTACATGGTAGGGACTCAACATGTTAGTTGTTATTTCCTTTATATGTCATTATATAAGCATTTACTATTTATGCATAAACTATACGAAAGAGAGAACTAGAAAATCAATTTTCTGAAGATTTCAAAATCCACTGGAAAAAAGTAATGTAGACCCGACCAGCCATTTTAGTGGTTACTTTTTAAAAGTTCTTCAACATTTGACCTGAAGATGGAAAGAGAAGTACCAGCCTAGTTGACGGCAATATTCATGCATACAGATGTGGATTTCCACAAAGGTAGCTGGGTATATTCTCATGAAAGACAAACTATGGACTTCTGGTCAAGATGGCAGCATAGGCAGACATGGCTCACACACACAACCTCTTCACACAACCACATCAAAATTACAGCTAAAATATAGAACAACCATCACTCATAACTGTCAGAAATCAAGTTCAATAGAAGTCTCACTACTATAGAATTAAAGAAATCACATCCATCCAGACTAGTAGGAGGGGTGCAAATGTGGAGAAGTCTGGTCCCTGACCCATATGCGGTGGATAAAAATTCAGGAGGGATATATATCTGGGGAGTGAGGAGTCCCAGCCCTACAGCAGACCCCCAAGAGCCCAGGGTTTCAGTGCCAGGAAGTTAAGTCCCCATAACTTCTGGCTGCAAAAACCAGCAGGGATTGAGGCACTGGGAGAAACTGCTGGAGCCCCAAGCAGTTCCTCTTAAAGAACCCACACGTGGACTCATCTACTCAGACTCCAGCACTGGGGTAGCAACTTGAAAGGCATCAGTGGTGGACACAGAGAAACTGAAGTGTCTGGCAGCAAGGTGAGCAGAGGCCATTGTCCCTTTTCTACACCCTGCCCTCACAGAGTCAGCAAGCTGGTGCCATGTCTGAGACTCCATCAACCTGGCTAACTATTTGACCTGCCTTGGTTAACCCCAGAGACTCTGCCCCACCCAACTTACAGGCCCACCCAAACTGCTCTTCCATATGAATGATCTTGGCTCATGCTTCACAACCTCCTAAATCCTATCAAACAAGCAACAGCTGGCCTCAGTGAGTCCCAGGCCTGGCACTAGCAGTAGCCAGACTAGATTCACAGCTTGGCTTATCCTGGGAATCTCCAAGCCCAGCACAAGTAACAGGCATCACAGATTGCTTTATAGCTCAGACAGGGTGGCCCCAGGCAAAACACAGGTGGGGGCCTTGGCCAGAGCCGCCTGGGAAACCCCAGGGCAAGTGCAACCAGTAGATGGCTATAGACTACATAGGAGTTAGCAACCAAGGCTCAACTACAAGAGGAAAGTGTACTCAGCACACATAAAGGGCGCATCCATCTTGTATGGTAGGGGAGGATTTGCCACTGGACCCTATAGGACACCTACTACATTAGGCCACACTACCAAGACAGGGAGTCAAAGCAGCTCTACCTAACACACAGAAACAAACACAGGGAGGCTGCCAAAATGAGGAGATAATGAAACTTGGCCCAAATGAAAGCACATATCAAGACTCCAGAAAAAGAGCTAAACAAAATGGAGATAAGCATTCTATCAGATGCAGAGTTCAAAACACTGGTTGTAAGAATGCTCAAGGAACTTAGTGAGGACCTCAGCAGCATAAAAAAGATCCAGGCAGAAACAAAGGATACACTAATTGAAATAAAGAACAATTTACAGGGAAACAACAGTAGAGTGGATGAAGTTGAGTATCAGATCAATGATTTTGAACATAAGGAAGTGAAAAATACCACGCAGAACAAGAAGAAAAAGGAATACCCCCCAAATGAGGATAGCATAAACAGCCTGTGGGACAACTTCAAGAGGCCCAACATGTACCTCATAGGAGTGCCAGATGGAGAAGAGAAAGAACAAGAAATTGGAAATCTAGTTGAAGAAATAATGAAACAAAACTTCCCTAATTTGGTGAAGGAAATAGACATACAAGCCCAGGAAGCACAGAGAGTCCAAAATAAGAAGGATGCAAAGAGGCCCATTCCAAGGCACATCATAATTAAAATGCCAAAGGTTAAAGATAAAGAGAGAATTTTAAAAGCAGCAAGAGAAAAGAAGTCAGTTACCTACAGGCAAGTTCCCATAAGACTGTCAGCTGATTTCTCAAAAGAAACTTTGCAGGCTAGAAGGGACTGGCAAGAAATATTTAAAGTCACAGAAGCAGAGACCTACAGCCAAAATTGCTGTACCCAGCGAAGTTATCATTTAGAATCTAAGGGCAGAGAAAGAACTTTCCAGACAAGAAAAAAATGAAAGGCATTCATCATCACTAAACCACTATTACATGAAATGTTAAAGACACTTATTTAAGGAAAAGATCAAAACTATGAACAATGAAATGGCAAAAAATACACATCTACTGACAACTGAATTTTAAAAGCGAATTAAGTAAACAAGAAGAACAGAGACAGAATCATGGATACAGAGAGCATTTTAATGGTTGCCAAATGGGAGGAGGGTGTGGAGGAACGGGTGAAGAGGTGAAGGGATTAAGAAGTACAAATAGGTAGTTACAGAATAGCCATGGGAATGTGAAGTACAACATAGGAAATGGGGTAGCCAAAAAACTAACTCATATGACGCATGGACATGAACAATGGTGGAGAGATTGCCTGAGGGGGAGGGGGTGCTCAGTGGCGGGGAGCAAAGGGGGAAAAATTGGGACAACTGTAATAGCATAATCAATAAAATGCAATTAAAAAAAGAAAGACACATGTTTAAGATAGTGTTATTTCTAATTTAGTATCCTTGGGGTTTTGCCAATGCAAAGAAACAAACCCAGGGAAACTGTAAAAAGCAGCAGCCCTTAGTTAAAACAACATCAACAGCAACAAAGAAACTGATCAGTAAATGACAGAGCATTGACCTGCAACTGGGACCGGTCACATCTGAGTGTCTACGCCACTCCTAGGGTGGTTAAAACAACAACGACAACAGCAAAAAACCTCACATCACGTACAGGTTTTTTCATAAGGGTTCATTAGGTGGCACTTGTTAAGGCCATAGTTATTAACAGAGCACATTTTAAAGGCTAATTAAAAATGAGAAATAATATTTCATTTAAATATCATTAGAGCATTTCTAATCTTCAAGAGTCCAGCTTCCTTTCCGTTTTCATCTCAATGTTTGAGATGGAAGCTGGGCCAGATGTTAGCATCTGTCAAATACCACTGTGGACGGACAAAATCAAGGCTGGCCATTAATGTGCTGTGGTCACACCCCATCATTCTTTCCACCCCATCTTACACCTCTAGTCCACCTTTCCTCCACTTAGCTTCAATGTTATGATGTCCAGTGCATGAAGTTTAGATTTCTAAGTCCTACCCCTTGAGCTCTTCAGAGACAAGACACCATGTACTCCTAGTGCAGTAATTAAATGCAACATTTGCCAATGTAGCACATGAAACCTTTACTCCTGAATCATGTCATCAAATACGTCTACCTATGTTTCTCACTTCCTTTTCATAAGCCATGTAGGAAATGTATGTAACTTAATTTAAAAAATGACTTTATATACATTTCCTGTGAGCTAGAAACATACAGAATGAGGAAAGCACTTACTTTTGATCAATATAGAGAGGGTCAAAGAATTCCGTTGTGATTTTGTTTGCATACAGGGAACAACCGGTCATTGAGCACAGCCCTAAAAAAAATACCAGACGGAAAGCACTGTGGTTGGTTAGTGTTATTTCATTAACAAGGTGAAAGTACCTTGTTTGGAAGAAAGCTACTATTTACCTGACAGTACGAACACAATCCCAGCCAAACATGCAATTTTCGCCTTGGCTTTCTCTGAGCCCCCGACTTTGGTGCACTTCATTCCAAACAGGGCACTTACGGAACCAAAGAAGCCCAGGCTGACAGCGGCGATCATAAGTCCTCGACATGCCTGGATGTAACCTGCAATTAGAACAGGTCATTTACATGAATGTAAAACTAGCGGCTGTCTGGGGAGAAACCCTCTTTTTACCCTGTCCTTCTGAGTGATTGTTCTGTTTTCCAAAAAATAAAAATAAATGACCATGACTGTTACGACAGGCAGTAAGACAAGCAAGGAAGGAAAGCAAGTTAGTCTATAGGGAATGCCTATTCTACATCACACGCTTTTAAGTTTGGCTTGTGCACGACCCCCAGATCAGCTCTGGGTGTCATTGCTCACATGTGATTTGGAAACTGAGGCCTGCAAAGTTCATATGCTGTGCCCGAGATGAGGCAGAAATGGATTCCATACAGATATGACTACAAAATCCATGCCACACTGGCTTTCACTGTGAGAAACACCAGCTGCCACTATCTCAACCTTCTTACTCCTTTGTACACTGGAACTTTTAAATGAATGTTTCAGTGGTTTCAGCATTATACAATTTATAAATTGGGCAGCAAGACCTCCCAAAGGGTAATATCTTCCAATATTAGTGGCAGTTTATAAATGAGACCAACTAAAATATCATCATGGACCATGAGGAGTCTAAATGAGGAAGTACTCTAATGATATATTATTTTCAGGGCACGTATAATAAAATTTGGCTTAAAAAAAGCATTGGCTATTTACTATAAGAATAGTTTAAAATCATTAAATTAACTGATTACACATAAATGGATGCCTTTAAAGTAACCGTAAATGCTTGTTCTGTTGGCTCATTTGATCGTTTTTCCTACACCAATCATCTCCTTTGTCACATGTTTGTATTTGCACAGCGAGGGTTACGGTAACCTGCAAATCTGGCTGTCATCCAGACACTAATGAGCTTTAAATTAATAAGACTTAAACTAATAAACTTTCCACATGCAGACACTTTCACTTCAGCCTGAAACAATGCCCTGTGTCACTCCGAAGTAGTGACAGCCCAGACTGGATGTAAGTATATAACTGTTCAGCACATGAACACACATATACACCAGGTTTACACTTAGAAATGAACTTGTTAATCTGAAAAAAACTTGTTAATGCCACAATACCAAGAGTCACTTATTATTAGTCCTCAGGCAAAAGCTACAACAAACAAGAATTCTGAGACCACAATAATTCTAAATTGGGAAAATAATGTTGGCCGGTGGCCTCCAGTCCATGTTTCTTTGGGGAAGAACAAACTTTTAAGTTTTAATCCTATTCTTAGGATCTATTTTTAAAGAAGATGCTCTACTTAATGGGACATATCTAGGCCCCCATAAATTCAGGCCGCAATGACAATAATCTGCTTCCCAGCACGGGTGACCTGCAAACAGGAAACAATTTTGCTGACCGTGGGACAATTGGAAAGAGCAACAGAAACTTATTTTTAGCAAAACAGGGAAAGGGAGGCTTAGTTTGGTAGCCACAACCATGCTACAGGGCTCAGTGCGGCCCGATGCCGGCCCAGCTCTACTTTAAAACTTCAACCCTCAAGTCCTTCCTGCAGAGCCCAGGCAGCAGGTGGAAACACAGAGAGAGCAGGCTTGTTGGTTCCTCGAGAGATAAAAGAGGGTCCGCCAGAGTCACGACTGCCTCATTGAGCACCGGAGCTGCTGGGACAGTGTGTGGGTTCGTTACGTTTTGCGCTTTATTTTAATGTCTGGCCTTGAGGTCTTTTAGCTGACTCTGCAGTCGCTGAGCAGACAGAACAGTGTGCGCATGTGTGACGAAGCCACTATACTACAGGTGGGAAAAAAAGCTAGTTTAGAAAACTTTATCATGCACCTAACTTTGCATTGACTTTGATCACCTTATAGGCTTTATGAACAGAAAATGCAGAAGCCTGGGAAAAGATAAAGTCCTGTAGACCAACTATATACACCTCAAAATGCATTTTCCCAGATGGTGAACAGTGGTTAGAACCCCAGGTTGATGAATTCAATCCTTCATGGGACTGGGAAAGTAACCGCAGTCTTTAAATTTTATTTAACCACTCCTCTCAACCTTTTTTCTGAGTTCCTCACTCAGTCCTCGCACCTCGGCCCTGGTAACTACAGCAGGATGGGTCTCTTGGCCCGAGTCTGAGACGAGAGCAGGGTTCTGCTGTGGTCAGTTTCTTCCTCAGTACCACTCAGAACCTTGATTTGAGGGCCAGGTACCTTTCTCTGGCGTGAAAACAGTACCAATGAATGAATGGCTAATTTGTCGCAGGCACAGAAGAAGGCTCTTCACCAGCACAGCCATTGGCTAGATTCTCTGAAACAGGGAGCAAAGACCAGGGGTTGGTCAGAGCTCCCAAGGACAAGCTCCCCTGCCAGCCACACCTTAATCCAGCTGTTGGTGAGACTGAGGTTTGTAAATTAGGGATTCCCAGTCCTTAAGACACCCACAGACTCGGGCCTTAGGTGACTTCCAACAAACTCTGAGGCCTTTTGCAAGGCAGACTTCTGCAACCTTGCTTGTGAACAGTCCTGGGGGCAAAACTTATAAGCAAAACCATCAAGAGAGGTGGTGGTAAAAACTAGTCAAGGAGGCCATTATTTTTGACAGGTCTAATTTACTGACACCGTTAATAGCTAATTAACACATTAAAGTGCTGAGGCATGAACGTAGTTACTTGGAAGGTCTCTGAAGTATAATTTATAGTTACCATTCTCCTGGAAGAAATGGCAAACATTCCCATTAACAAAAATAGATGGCACCTGCTAAAAAACAGCCCGGGTGAAACTTAGTCTCAGGTGAAGTTCAAGTGGTGCTTTGAAAGGTGCGTGGCTTAGCAATAAACAAGTCGCTAGCTCGTTCAACTGTGAAATTTTCAGTGAGTAAAATGCAGTGACTTTGATGAATTCCGTTGGAGGAAACCTTCAAGGTGTCCCCTAGAAGTTGTTTTCCAAATGATGGGTACCTTATTTTCTGTTTCAAACTAGTAAAAATGAAAGTAGCCACTTGGTGGAGACAATTTCCTAGTAGCATGTGTGCTAGTATTGAAGGGAGAAAAAGGAACATGCTCTCCTTATGCTGGCAGCTTTGTGTACTTTTTGCAAATGCACTGAAAGATCAATATGGGGGGAGGCGTGAACTTCAAATTTCAGCTGTGGGTCTTCTATTCACCCACTGTGTGCCCTTGATCACGTCAACTAATCTCTCTGAGCCTCTGATTTCTCATCTGTAAAACAGGGCTAGCAGCTTTTCCTTCTCAGGATGAATCAAATGAACAAAGTCGTCTAGTGAGAGGTAAGAAACTCATGGAAGCTTCCCCTCTGTACTACTAAGATTTACTGTAAACAGAAATTACAGTTGTGGTCCGAATACGGCATAACGTTAACTCTAGACACTTCGCTTTTCTCAGCCTCACTTTCCTTATAGGGAAAACTAGGGTGACCATGGTACCCCTTGATGATGGAGAATCACAGCTTTGACCTCACACAGGAAATTCGGAATAATGCCCCCATCGTCTGCTTCCAGGTGGTTTGCTTTACTATTGGAGACTAGACAAGAGACTCACGAGTTTTCTCTCTCCCTTCTTGGCTTTTCTTCTCTGTCTAGACCCTGTGCCTGGTTTAAGGAGAGGGTTTCACTGCTCAGGTCGGGGGCCACCATGGCCCGTGGTAATGCAGCCTCCTCCCATCACTTTCAAGGCAAGGTCAGGAAGTACAAGTGCCATGCAAGTGCCACAGCGGGACCTGCCTTGGGAGCAGCATCCAACAGATCCCGCTGCCCTGGGGACACTAGGCAGGGAGTGGACAAGTGGAGGTGGGTCCAATGTGAGACGTTCTACTGCAGATGAGGGGATAAACTCCTCTTTAATGAAAATGTAGATTTGCCCCTGAATCCCCTTAATGTTTGTTGTCCTGGGAGATACAGAAAAGTAAACCTGTTGCTTTGGGAGAGGTAAGGCCTTCCTGAGCCACCAAAGGCAGAACAAACAGGAAGAGGTCAATAAATCCGGTTCTAGTACACAATGCAGAGTTTTATACGGGAAAAGTCCTCATAAACTTCAAGGACGGACCATGGGCTGAGACAGCAACATATATAATAAAGTGAAGATTAACATCCAAATTAAAAAAAGGCTTTTAAACCAAGAGGAAATGACAGAATCGTGGGCATAAGATTGGACAAGCAACACAGAAGAAAAAAAGATCACTACATGATAAGAAGGTCCAAATCAGTGGTAACCAGGAAAATGCCGATAAAAATGATCATATGTCACCCACAGTACTAGTGGTGAGAATGTGGAGAAATAGGTATTTATTCTCAGACACTGTTGGTAGAGTGTAATCGGCAATATAAACTGAATATTAAAATGAATATTCTATTTCCCTGACAATACAATTTCCCAGTATCCACTCTATAACAATACATACACACACCAAGAGGCAAATACTGATTTTCAGCAAACCACTAACAAGAGTGAAAAGCTGGGAAGGGTCCAATATCCAAGAATGAATAAATGGTTCAATAAACCAGTTTGTCCACACTAATGAATTCTGCGCAGCCATTACTTCCGTATGTTCCAACTGGGAAAGATACTCTATTGATTTTAAAATACTATGAAAAAGTAGGTAGGGTGATGTCAGTGGCGTTTTTAAAAGTCATTTTCTAGGCATCCGAGCATACTTGGAAGGTTATCTTGCAAGCTGGGTTGTATATTCATGATCCTCCTCCTCTATTTGCTCCACTTTCAACCCCCTCTAGAGTGTAACAATTCGGGGCAATGCCCTTCTCCCTCGGACCGCAAGTCTCCACACCATGTCTTCCCTCACCTCAGATGCGTAAGGTAGAAAACCTCACCACTCTGCCCGTAATAATACCCTGGGAGCTTGTCCTTATCTCTCTTCTCTCTTGCTGGCAGCATACCTACCTGGCACACTATCTTAGGTAACAACACAGTTACAACAGAGGAATGTGCTTAAAACACTAACTGTAGATGCCCTATTGCTGCACGTAAACCACAGACACACAGAAACAAGAACCTGCCTATTGACAGCATCTACTTGGACGCGGGCCC